TTCAAGGCTAAGACTAATAGCAAAATGGTTCACACGGTCTTATTGGAAGACCTACCAAGTGATATTTAAGCAGTGGCAAAACTCAAGATAGTAAGAGTATTGCAGTCATTAGTTGTAAATCAGGATTGGCCTTTACATCAGCTAGACATTAAAAATGTATCTCTTAATGGGGATCTTGAGGAAGAAGTGTACATGAAAATACCTTTAGAATTTAAAGAACAAAATAAGCAATCAGTTGGTGTGCAAACTAAAAAATCATTGCATTTGTTGAAATAATTTCCTGGAGCATGGTTTGAAAGAATCATTAAGACTATTCTTGCCAATGTGTATTATCAGTGTCAGATTGATCACAATTTGTTTGTGAAATCAAATCAAGAATATATGATAGTCATCCTTATTATATATGTAGAAGGCATCATTCTTACGGGTAGTGATGTGAGGGAACTCGAAAAAAATCAAAAGAATAATGACTTGTGAGATTGAGATCAAAAATCTTGGAGCTTTAAGTTAATTTTTGAGAATAGAAGTAGCTAGATTCAGGAATGGCCTTGTCATATCCCAACAAAAATATATCCTCAGCTTATTAAAGGTGATAAGAATGTTGAGATGTAAATTAATTGATACTCCTATTGATCCTAATCGACGAGCATCCAAAGTACAAAATAACACCCAGTTGGAAAAAGAGAGATCAAAGACTTGTGGGGAAACTTAATTATCTTTCATATACAAGACCTGAATTTTTTTCTTTTTTTTTTTTTTTTTATGGATGAGCTAACACATGAATGATCCAAATGAAAATAATTTAGAAGCGGCCTTTCAAATCCTGAGGCACCTAAAGACAACTCCAAGACGTGGATTAATATTCAAGAAGATAGAAAACCGTGAAATTGAAATCTACATTGAAGCTAGCCGGGCAAAAGAGCAGACCGATAGAATATCACTGTTCATTTATATGGGGTTAACCTTATTACTTGGAGAAGTAAAAAGTACGTTGTGGTGACAAGAAGCAGTATAGAATCTGAGTAACGTGCCCTCGCCCTAGGAAGTTGTGAAGGGATGTGACTAAATAAATTATTGGTGAAACTTTACATTGAGAACAAAAACACTATTAAAATGTTCAATGATAATCAATCAACATCAGAATTTCAAAGAATCTAGTACGTTGTGATCAAACCAACCATATAAATATTGACACACTTCATCTCTGGAAAGTCAATGGAAGGAATTTTCAGCTAAGATATATCCCTACTCAGTATCAGATTACTAACATTCTTACCAAGACTCTTCCTTGGCACCACATCAGTGAACTAAGCCGCAAGTTTGGGATGTATGACATACAACCCAACTTGATGGGAAGTGTTGATATTGAAATCCAGTTCAAGAAGCCATTGGTCATCTATTATATTTGAGGGGGAAAAAGTATTCTCTCTTAATTATCCATTATTGTGTTTTTTATTTCTTTCCTTTTTATCATGATGATTTGATTTTCCCTCCAATTGTATGAGGGTCAATCTGCACTGTATATATATTTGTTATTTACTTAATAAAAAATTAGAGATTTTATTCTTCCCAAATATCTACAGTTACCATAACAATAACATTATTGTAGCTGAGAACCAGCTCTACTACTCTAGCTGAAGGGGATTGAAATTTCAGTAGTAGACCAATTCATTAAAAAAGATAACGTCCTTGCTTGCTATTTTTAGATGAAATTTATGAAAATTTTTAATTCAGTACCTGTGGGGACCCCTACCGCTCATCTTACAGAAATCCTAACAGCTTCAAAAAATCTTTTGCACATCTAATCACAAATCATAGATAGAAACATAAATATGAAGTTTCAACCAATAACAAAATTTGATGGTGTGATTGCAAACTAGAAATGGATCATGCAAAGGTAATATGGACCATGATTAGAAGTTTCAGGCCCTGCAGAACCGTTTTCTCAACAAACACGAACAAATTGCTGATCAAATAACCACAATGATGGCTTCCATTGAATCTATGGTTGCATGTATACCATCACCATTATCTGCTTGACCATCTGGTTAGAAGGTAGAAAAACATCCAACAATAATTTAAAAATCTGTAGAAGTGCCATTAACAAGGAGAGAAGAGAAAGCTGACTTTCCCATTAACGTCGAAACAAAGTTAGAACTACCCAACTACAATAGGACAATCGAAGCAGATTTAATAGATAACTCGTTCGAACTTAGTCGGCCATACATCATTATGTACGATTGTTCAGATAGAAAGAAGATTGCCTTTGCACTATTGAGGTTATTCTCTTAACGAGGTAGAATTCACAAACAAAGAAGATTTGTTAGCCCTGGCATGGCCCAAGTTTAAGAGATTGTTGAAAACAAAATTCTATCCCATTAGATATAAAGAAAAGTGGATTCAATGGCAGAATGAACAGAGAACGACTAGAGTGTGCTAGATGATCACACAGCAGATTTTAGAAGGCAAGAAACTACTTAAGAAATCTTTTTGAACGAGAAATTAATCTTCAAGATGTATATATTAGGACTTCATTAGAGTTTTCAGACAGTAAATTTTTCCAGTTGCCAATGTCCTTGAAGCTACATTAAAAGCATAGCAGTAGAAGAAAGAATAGGCCTTTTTCCAAAGAATAAAATTATAGCATGAAATTATAAAGGAAAAATTGTAGGAAACAACCACAAAAGTGTGAGACATCCGACCTTCATGCTGTCATTAAAAAAAATCAAGATAATCTCAAATTTTGATGGAATTTGTATAAAAAACGAAGCCAATGTGGGAAGAAAAGATACAGACCATCATCATCACCTTTAAAGAAGTAATTGAATTTGGTTCCATATATAAGTTAGACCTTACATTAGCTCTGATGTTACATATACATGTCAACAAAAAGGTTAAGGAGGAATCTTTTCACCTTAATCTTCAATGAAGCATATTTCTCGTTGATTTTATCAATAACGGGGTAAGAATAACTTGATTTTCAAAGATTTTGTTGAAAAACTAGGTTAATTTATTACAAAACATCCAAAAATTTAATCTTTGAATTCGTACATTTAAGTAATAATTGTCAAATTACTGAACAATGTTTCTTAAGAGATTTTATTAATGAGATAATTTGTAAAATTATTCTATTGAATCTATGGGAAGCCATTTTGAGAAGTCCTGATCTATGGTATAGGAATGTTATAATTTATGAAAACAACAAAGATTTGAGCTAGTAAAAGAAAATAGAAAGTGTAGAGCCAATCAATTTTTTGTTTCATCTTTTTAGAAGATGGGGAAGACCAGCAAACCAGAAGGTCCTAAAATAATGTCAAGAGCTCTATTCCTAAAGAAAATCATTAAAGAGCAATCCCGATTGTTGATCCGTAGTTTACCCAAGAGGATGGCCATCACAACACAATAAGAACAATACTACAAAGAAGAAACGAAAGAATAAGTTTAAGGAGTAAAAAAAAAAGTGCTCGTTTGTTTGTAGAACAGAATATGCTAAAATGGGAGCTGCAATCCGAGACAATCTCTTTTGGAAAAACTATTCAAATCACACTATTGTTTAGAAAGATGAAGTCATCAGGAATTCACATATAAAAACATATCACCAATCAAATGTCATGCAAAGAAGAATAAAGCCAGAGAATTTTGTTCGTTAGATTGCAATACAAATTACAATGAACTTTTAAATTTAAATTTATTTTGAAATAGTATGTATTTTAAATTTTAAATTCTAAATGAAGTTTCCTTCTTTTGTAGAATTAGTTTATGAAAGATGTGTTTGTTCCTTGTTTTATGGAAATAATTTAAGAAGGATAGAATTTCTCCTAAATTGTGCTATTATTTTAGGAGAAGAATAGCAGATAACATTAAATTTGAATTAATTCCTACTTAAGTTGGTTATTTAAAGGCCAAAATTCCTAAAATGAAAAACTCAAAATTATCCCAATCCTTCTTCTATTTCCTCTCTTGCCTTAGCTGAGTTATAGTAGTGATGGAACCTAAGTAGACCACAACATTGCAGTGAAGTTTATTAAAGGCCATAATGCTATGGTGAATGAGGTGTTGTGGCAGACAACCAGATTATGCTACTCTGACTAAAGAGGCCTAGGGTTTCAAAAGTTGACTGATACTTACAAAGCATGAAAAAAAGGATAGTTATTTTTGGTGGAAACAATCCTAATTTGTTTATATTTCCCTTAAGAATCCTAACTCTCATAGTAGAAAGGTTTTATTGATTCAAAAAGTTTTATGCACATTAAATTATGAATTAAAATATTCGATTGAATTATATCGGCCTTTAATGCAGAGTCTGCACCCACCTTGCCATAGTGGTCCTTCACTAAAACATTAAAGTATGTTGTATTTGTTAAAATTTGTCAAGGGATGAGCATTTATCTTAAATACAGAAATTTCATGAACTAACAACTTTCCAAAGAAAAAAGGATAAATTGGAAAATAAAAGTAACCATCTGGTCAAAATTAAGCTTTTAAAGTATTCCAAAAGGAAACCACTTGTAGCTCCAACATTACATGAAAATTAATCTCAAATACTGCGAATTTAAATGCTACTTGAAATTGAGATAGATGTAGAATTGGTAACAGAAGCTATTGCCAGTTGAATAAAATAAAAAAAAATTAGGAAGAAGTAAAAGCAAGGCATGACTGTACAGGATTGCGGTGAGTAAATAACAGCTAATTTAGCTGGAAAAAGAACACATGCTAAAATAAATCACAACATGCAATTAATAACCTGCAACACGGACAATAAAAACATAGCTCATTTAATCATATAAAAGGGAATCATATGGCCTACAGTATAAATGATCTATAATGCATCAGAAAATTACAAAAGAAAAAAAAAGCAGAGAACATTATTCATTCTCATAAGGCTAATTCCAACTAATTAAAATAAAGGTACTTGACAATCGAAAGAAAGGCTTTCTGAATAATATAATACACTCAAACCACAAAACATAACAAGCTGTGAAAGAAATGTGCTCTCATACTCCTCCAGCATCCAGTAACTTCGCCTTTGAAAGTTCTCATCATCTTCTCCATGAGCATAATAACAATGCAAAACATCTATGCTTCCAGCCTGGAAATTTTTGACATGTTGAAGCAGCTTATTACTCTTGATAAGTCAAGCCCAAAAATATTGTTAAAAAAGTTTCACCAAGTCTGAAAATTCATGACTGACTAAGAAAGCACTCAACAGAAGTAGAATGTTCACATGAAATTAATATATTAGCATGCATGTGCACAAAAAAAAAATTGTTATTGTAGGTATAGCATCATATTTTACATACTCGGTCGAGATGTCATTGGTACTTTGTACATTACTAAAGGCTCAAAAGATAAAAATATTAATCAAAATAAAAGCATGCATATCATACACTCATAAAAGCTAACGTTAATAATATCTTAATTGCAACATACTTTTAGCTTCTCATGAGCTTCCTTCACTGTCTTTCCATCCTTTTTCTTCCTCCAATTGTGGCCATCCTTCCGGAAGTATCTCAATACCTTCCGATCAAACAGGAAAAGAGAACCACCTACACATAAAACAAGTTTAAGAAACATATAAGTGATAGTCTAATATTATCAGGTTGAAAATTAAAATTTATAATAACGTACCCAGAAAAGGCCAAGTGAAATGAAAACAGAAATAGAAAAAGTAGTTTTGGTCACCCTAAACGATTTTAGCTGTTTCGCTTATCGAATTAAGCTCCCATTCCCGAAACAAGGAAGCTATACATCCAAGCCCTCTGACAAAACCCTAAAGTAACTACAGCAGTAAAAGTTTGAAGAGTACGGAAATAACACCAAGTAATAAAGTTAACTGGAAAAGTTCCATATCATAGCCATCTCAAGCTAGAAAGTTATAAAAATTTCTAAGCATAAATCAAACCATACTATCAATGAAGTATTTTAACTATCACAATCAAAGTTTAATTAATATAAGAAAATGCAAGTTTAGATGGGAATGAACCATACTTGGAGGCTTGTTTGGTGGCTCTGGTGCAATATGAAACTTATGGTAATTACGCAGGATTTCACAAATTTCTAGCGGACGTAACCATCTGTGCTGCGCTTCTTCAAGTATTTGCTCTAAATCTATGGAAGAAATTGATCAAATTAGTTAACAGTACGATGTACAATCGATAAAAGGATGAGTAAACAAAAGAGAGCATTGCTGCAATGAAAAACATAGATTAAATCCACTGTAACCATATTTTAAATATTACATAAATGAACTATAAACTTGGTCATTCTGAAAACAAGTTCCACTATTCACATGGGTCAAAAGTTTTGAACTTGTCACATCCCGTATTTGGAAGACAGTGCACCCTGACAATGCAGGACATAATAAAAAAAATTAAACATGTTTTATATTCTTAAAAGAAAAATGATATGCAAATGATAACATGAATAAATAACAAAAACTAAATTTTATTCCATGAAAAAGAGTACAATGATAACACTATCCTTGTCGGGTTCCAAGCCCCAAACTTGAAAAGTGGAGGGTTGTGTTAGATAGTCTACAACTAGCATAAATTTTTTGTTGGAAAAAATCATGACATAAATCCTTTAAATCATTGTGTAAATGTTAAGTCGTCCCCTTGAAGTGACGTCTTTTTTAGTTTGAATACAAAGAAAATTGTGCAAGGGCCGCTATAATGGCACCAAGGTATAGTGTTAATTAATTAAGGATTCTCACATTATGAAAGGATGCGGGCAGAAAATTTAATCCATGAAAATAATATTAGAATAGAATCTTGGAATATAGATACTCACAGATAAATTAATGGATTTAATAGATATTATGATTCATAGAAAGATAAATATCTTATGTATTCAAAAAATTAAATGGGTTGAAAAAAAGACTAATAAGATTGATAGCTTATGTTTTAAACTTTGATATTCAAGTAGGAGTCATACTAAAAATGGTGTATGTGTAATTATAGAAAATAGTTTAAAAGATAATATTGTAAAAATTAATATAATTAGAGAAAAAAATCTAGCACTAAAGATTGTTGTTCATACTAAGATTCTTAATATTATAAGTGTTTATGCTCCCCAAGTAAATTTAGATATATGTTCAAAAAAAATTTTGTAATAACCTAGAAGAACTAATACAAATAATAACTCTTAATGAAAAACTTTTACTGGAGAAAATTTAAATGAATATGTTGGTAGAATAATAAAAGATTTTTAAAATATTCATGGTCGTTATAGTTTTGGAATGATTAATAGAATCATATTGAGTCCGCTTTAGTTTATTATTTTATTATTGCTAATATTTTATTTAAGAAAATATATGAGCATATTATTACTTATAAAAATGGATATAATAAAATACAAATTGATTACTTTCTTATGATAAAAAGAGATTGTCGAGAATATAAAGATTGTAAGGTAAATTGATGTAAAAATTTAAATATTCAACATCGATTATTAGTTTTGAATTTTTAAGAAGAATAGTTTGAAGATAAAAAAAATAATGAAACCTTGTCATAAAATTAAATGGGGACGCTTGAAAGATAAATAAAAGTATTTTTATGTATTTTTATGAGCAAATTTTAAAATTTTAAGATTTGAGATGTTTATAAAAGAAACTAATTCTATGTGGGATAAAGCAATAACCATTATTAAACAAGTAAAAAAAGAAGTACTTGGAGAATCAAAATGAAAAAATTTTTTATAAATAAAAATAGTTGGTGGTGGAATAATAATGTGGAAGAAAAAATAAAATATAATAAGTTTTGTTATAAAAAATAGTTTAAAATGTAAAAACTTATAAAATCAGAAAAAATATAACGTGGCCCGTAGAGAGTTTAAGAAAAATATTTGTGATGTTAATAATTATGATTTTAGTGTTATTTATAATAAATAATATGCTAAATTTGGTGAAAGATATAAGTATAAACTAGTCAAACAAAGATAAAAGAAAAGTAAAAATTTAGTTCAAGTATATTGTATTAAAGATGAAAATTAAAAAATACTTTTCTTAGATGACGATATTTAACATAGAAGGATGGGATATTTTAATAAACTTTTCAATAAAGCTTTTAAAAAAACGATCGACATTAGTGATTTTAATATCATTAATAAAAAAAAAATTATTTTTACAGTCGCATTAGTAAATAAAATTGATGAGGCTTTAAAGAAAATAAAAGGTGAAAAATTAGTAGAATTTGATGGTATCTCAATAGAAGTATGGAAGTATTCAAGAAATTAGAGAATTTCTTGGCATACTAAACATTTTAATATTATTTTAAAAACTAAAAAGATGTCTGAGGAGTGCCAAAAAACTATTTTGGTCGCCTTTTTTAAGAATAAAGCGGATGCACAAAAGTGCAAATTATAGAGAAATTAAGCTAATGTGTCATACATTAAAATTAAGGAAGATAGCGATTGAACAATAGACAAGACGTGATACAAAAATTTCTCATAATCAGTTTGGATTATATCACTCAAGTCTATTATGGAAGATAAACATTTATTGAGAGGCTTGATGGAGAGAAGTATAGAGAGAGTAAGAAGGATCTAGATATGCTTTTTATTTATTTAGAAAAATGGTACGTAAGTTTCCAAGAGAAGTTCTTTGGAGTTCTAGAAAAAAAAAAGGTTTTGATATGATTTATATTCAATTCATTAAAGATATGTATACTAGAGTTGTTACATGTGCTCAAACAGAAGGAGGATTGATCAAGTATTTTCTTATTTCAGTTGGATTACATCAAGAATTTGCTTTAAGCCCGTATCATTTTGCTTTAGTTATGGATGCTCTTACTGAAGATTTACAAGAGGATGTACCTTGCTGTATGTTTTTTGCTAATGACATCCTTATTGTGGATAAACTAGAGAAAGAGTTCAGAAAAAAACTCGAATAACGGAGACTTACTTTAGATTCTAAGGGCCTTCATATGACTAGATCTAAAATTGAATACATGGAATGTAATTTTAGTAGTAGATCTGGTGGCAGTGTTGTCACAATGGGTGATCAAATCATTAAAAGGACTAAACATTTTAAATATTTCGGGTCTATTTCTCAAAGTGATGGCAATCTAAATGTGGATGTTATAATGTTATTTGTTGAATTCAAGTTGAATGGTTGAAATGGAGGAATGCATCGGGTCTATTGTGTAATAGAAAAGTACCGCTTAAAATTAAAGGGATAATTTACAAGATAGTGTGAGACCTGGAATGTTTTATGGCACAGAATATTAGTCTATAAAAGAGAAGCATAAAACTAAGTTAAGTGATGTTGAGATTAACACCTACAGACAAAATGTGAAACGAATATATCCGTGAAAGGATTGGTGTCGCCCTAGTGACAGACTAGATCAGAGAGAGTCATCTTATAGATGATATAGCCACATTAAACGTCGACGACGATCTGATGATCCGCTTAGAAGAGTAAATGGATTAGATTAGACTTATGTTAAGAAAGGTGGAGATAGACCTAAAAAAACATGGACTTTCTGTATAAAAAATTATCTTAATTTATTAGAATTAAATGAAAATATGACACTCAATAATCCACAATAGAGAAAAATGATTCATGTACCTGACCCCATTTAGTGGGATAAGGGTTTGTTGATATTGAATAAGAGTCCACTGATACAACCGAAAGAAAAGCAGAACTGGCTGAAGTATAATTGAACTGACAATAGAAGAAACTACCCAAAGCCCAAAAGGAGAAAACAAGGGAACTATACAAATACAAGAAAATAACAAAAATGGAAATTCTAAAACTACAAAGTCTGCTTCGGTGGAGATAATACTGTTAGTGGCTAAATAGAATGTGTTATGCAAAAATATCATCGAGTGATTCTGATAAACAAACTCATTAAATAATAATTATTTATTAAAGTATAAAGCATGCAGTATGAACAACCAAGGACAATTATGCATATATAATATCATAGAATCACAATAGTACTAAAATATAAATATGTTCAATTATGAACATGCAATTATTTTCAATCCAATAAAATCATAGCAGTGCATAACTTAAAAATTTATTTAATTTTAATTCAATTTATATTTATATAGTTGATTTTGAACATCATCCTGAAACTGGGAAGGTCAATCCTAACCCAAGAAAACCCAACAGTTTTTTATAGTCATCTTTCTATGGGACCGTCAGCCCGGCTAGCCAAATCCAAAAGAATTACACCAACCAACACACCATCACACATAAGCATATCAAATTTTTTCACATTTGTAGTATGTATAAAATATGCTACTTCACATAGGCTTTTGACATGAGAAGAAAGTACATGCAATTTCATAAAGGTAAAATACCATAAAAGATAATATAATAATTGCAGGATTAAATCAAATATAAAAGATATTTTACAGTAATAAAATAAGCAGCTAATTACTTCATTATAAGCAATAACGGAAATCTATCACAACTGCAAAAAAGAGAACTGAAGTGGCAAGAGCATGACTAGCAATCCTATGAAGTAACAGAAATCTAGTACAAATAATAATGATTAATAACCTTAACTAGGAATGGTGCGTTTGTCCCTTAATAAAATACAACTACTTCGAGACGACCAAAAAGACATTTCTAAGCATTTAGCGGTGTAACTAGTGATCTTAAGCAATTTAGAATTCAAAATATAATTACTTGTACTATTAAAGACATCAAACATTTATTAGATTAGGTCAAACAAAAGAATATAAATTATTATCATCTTATATACATACATATATATGTATGTAGGCACATCTATGTATGTATGTAGGCACATCTATATATATATATATATATATACATACATATATATGTATGTAGGCACATCTATGTATGTATGTATACATCTATGTATGTATGTATACATCTATATATCTATATATATATATATAGATGTATATATATATAGATGTATGCATGCACATCTATGTATGTAGATGTCTATATATGTATATGTGTGTGTGTGTATTTATATTTATTTATTTATTCATATATGTAAATCACATAATGATATGTAAATCACATAATGAAAAGAGAAAATAAAAAGAAAACAAAGGAAGAGGAGGGCTTATGATGCTTGCTCAGTCGACAAAGGAGGAAAGAGGAATAAAGGAGGACAGAGTATCCCCGTTCTCAATGGTCTCGAAAAGGAACAGATCGAAAGGAGGAAGATAGAATTTTTGTGGTCACTGTGACTCGCGATCCCAACGTTGCCTTCCTAGCTAGTCCTGATCGATATCGTATCAAAAGGGTTCAGTCACTAAGGTGATGGTTTTGGGCGAAAACGTGAGAGAGGGAGGAGGAGAGAATGTCGGCGAGGGTTGGTGGCTATAAGAGGAAAATTGAAAGAGGTGAGTGCGATGCCCTTACTTCGGCGTTAGTCCTCCCTAAAATAGCCGAGAGAGGAAGTAAGCAACAATGAAAGAAGGGAAAGGCGGCAACAGCGAACCAAGAAGAAAGGAAAGAATCGCATTTTTGGGAAGTCGGTTCAGAACGAGCAATTCGGAAATGCGGCGAGGATTGTCATAACGAATGGAGGAGAAAATTTTGGGTCTCACAGAACTGATGTCAATTAATCATCAAACATTTTAACTAGCATTTGAAAAGTCCAACAAATATTAATATCGAATCAGTAGAAGCTTTTGTTTCCTCATTACAAGTAATCGCTTTCAAATTTATTAAAAATTTGGTACTATTCAATAGCTGTTGCCGTGAAATTGGAATTTTACAGAATAAAAAGCATTTCTCTCACTATGAATGGAATTGTGTATGCTAAGACAGTCAATTTGAAAATGCTAAAAAGCTATATTGATGACAAGCTTCACATAACCAAAATCTGAGGAAAATTTCTATCTAGAACCTATCAGCATATCAAACACTACTTCAAGTTAATTACACAATATTAATGTTGTAAGCTGCACGGCTAACAAGCAAGAGCTTCTTGTGCATCAAAAGTGTAAGGTAAAAATTTAGAAAAGGCCCTCCTAAAAAGCATTTCATAAAACACTAAAAAAGCTAAAATCCCATATTTTGGCTAATAACTGTAGTTAAATGACAGTTAACATGGATTATGTTATGAAAAAATTATTCTGAAGGTGATGTGATTCATTAAGACTTAGTATGTTGTTAACTTCATTTAAGATTTATCTTCAGCATGTGGCAATCCAAAATTTGGAAACTAAAATAAATGTTGGAAGCAAACCCTTACAAAAGTTCATTGTGTACCTTTATTGCTTTTGCTATGCCAGAACATTGGCATATGACAAATTTAAATGAAACCCTAATCTCTCTCCTATTTCATCCCATTTTCACTTTAACCAAATAGAGGCTCTCCAATCCGCCCAGCAACACCCTCCCTCCCTCCCTCCCTCCGTTTGTATCTAGGTGGCAATTGCTCAATGAAATGCATAATGATCACATCAAAGAGAAATTTGTGGAGAATCCCAATTGCAATTTTATGCATCACAATTGGGCAGACATTGATAACTTCTTAGGAGTGTAAAGGAATGTATATTGCTTGCAAATGGTTGTTTTTTACATGTCTGATACTTTCAAAAGCAATATATCCCTTCAAGAGTTCCATTACTTTGATAGATTTAGATAGCATTGACTTGAAGAAAGTGTATTGGTAAACCTATTAGGAAGATCATTTCATAGTTTTTGCAACTTCTTCACTATAGTCATGGGAACAACTGCACACTGGGAGATCAATTGCTACTTTTGAAGCAGTTCTAAGTTTGTAGTATACAAGTAAAAAGGATACATATTTTGAAGATATAGAAATTTACATATTTGGAAAACGGAATCATGCCATTTTTTGTGGTTTAAGACGCTTGACTTCAGTAATAAAACACTAACTAGTCAGGTAAGTAAAATGTTTGCAGGGTGTGAGAGGTCCTGCAAACTTCACATTATTTTTTGTAGGAATGCATTCCACATCCTACAATACTATGATGTCTGGATAGAAATTATTTCAATATCCAATTTAGTTTTGCATCCATGGTAGATTTAATGTTCAATAAAAGTGCAAGTTATATGGCTTGGAACTTGATAATAACTTGCAACGACTAATACATTAAACTGTGGTTCCTTCTGAGTGACATCCACTTGAGGGTGTGATGCATCATTTTGAGTCCATCCAATAAAACACACAAATCCGGTTAAATAAATTAATCTAAATATAATAAAACAAATGAAAAGAAGATTATGGTGAAATGAAGATAAAAATTAAAAAAAGAGATGGTAATCACATAAAATGACTTAGAAAATCACGATAAAAATAAGAACATCATGAAGATATCCCCATTCATTCTCCAAAGTAGTAAACCTCCAAATTCCAAAGGTGAACATAAACGTAGAGAGAGGGTATCTTGTATTGAACAAACTTTTTTATTATATAATGTCTCTAAGTTATTGAGAGTGAATGTTAATAAAACACACGTGGTTGACAGATATGCCGATAAAAGGCAAAAGAAAGGCCATGAAGAGTAAACCAGATCATAAATTTGATTTTTTATGGGAATTTGCAAGTTTTTAACATCTAAAGAGTTTGGAACTACGCAACAAGCGAAAAGAAAAAAGAAATAAGGGTAATTCATTTATAGTTTTTAACTGGCAAAGAGTTTGGAATCACAATAACAACAACAAAAAAGTAAAATAAAATAAAAAAATCCAACTGTAACAGAACTACGCTGACATGCATTTACCTAATTTCTTCAAATAGGCAAATACATAATTGATTGAAGAAAAACAGCATATATTTTTCACACTCGTAAACAAAGTCAACAATTTAAGCTTAGGATTATAAACCACACCAGAATCTGACAAAATGATCTAAAATTCATTAATTCTTCAGAAAAATGAAGAAATATTTTAGGTAATAAAGGTAAATCGTGAAATATGCCGTCAGCTTGAAGCAGCGACACACTTCGGGATCACCACTTGAAATAGAATCTACACGAACGTGTAGTTTTATGCCTAAGATGAATCAAAAGATGGCATTTACAAAAGTTCGATAAAATAGCGAGCTTTCACAAAATCTTTTCTTTTATGAGTGAGATCTTTCTCAAATTTTGGTTCAAAGTGTGATCCGCTTAACAAACGCCCCAAATATCTTGAAACTCAATTACACTTCGTGCAGGCATCGTTAGCCAACAAAGCATATTCTTTCTGGAGAAGGAACACCACCCTGCCCTAGAACACATTTACCTCTTAATTAAGCTCTGCATGAATTGTTACTGCAGAAACGCATAGGAAAATCGTGAAATTCTTCTTAAACAACGATAGATTCAACATGCAAAATCAACAAGGAGATGGTTTCTCAAGGGAACAATTGAGAGAATAAATCAATAAGTTAAAGGACCCTCACCTAACTGCGGGTTGAAACCCAAGTTGCGGTATTCCGCCATCGAAGAAGCAAGAGAGCCGCAGCAACGGTGAACAGCCACTCAATCAGCCATCGAAAGTGCGAAATCCGGCTGTTAAACTGATCTGAAACAGTGAGAAGTATAAGATATCCAGAAGGAATCTCGCGTTTTTTCAATGTTTTAGTAGAGTGCGAGGGGAAAGGTGAGAACAAGAGGCCGCCGCCAATTTTGAAACCACCACTGTCAGATCGGGACTTTGGACTTACCTTGTTCGGGGCAGCTTAGCTTGTATCGAGTCAGGAGCTCCTTACAAAATAACATGATCTATGTGAGGTGATTATTATAAATTTTTATTTTTTTAAAAAAATCATACTTCACCCAGAAAGCTACCTTCGGACCTAGATAGTGTGGAAACATTGTCTTCGATGTTTTGAAAATGCATAAGCAGCAAAAACGTAGTTTACCCAAACAGATCATGTACATTTCAAAACGTCACCGCACCAAATAAGCTGCCCTAAACGGGCTCTGTGAGGAAAAATTATTACATCAGGACTCCGCATGTAGAGTTACGTGCGGAGTCAAATGAAATTACACCGTGGAGGTGATCAACCCGGTAACATAAGGGAATATTCTCCTCGTGTTTTTCAGGTGTTATTGTATGTTATTCAGATGTTATTATGTTCTGTAAATATTCCCGGTGTTATAATAACACAATAACACATCAATAATATTTGAATAACACACAATAACACTTGAATAACACATAATAACACATAAATAACACAAGCGGATTATTCTCTTGTGTTACCTGACCGATCACTTCAACGGCGTAATTTCATAAAACTCCGCACGTAGCTATACGTGCTGAGTACTTATGTAATATTTTTTCATCTGTGAGGCCTTCAAATGAAGATTGTTTTTTTGGCTCAAGGCAAACAAACATTTGTCGGATTTGACTTGAATTGACCTCAAGGAGCTGTATTTATCTTCAATCCAAATTAAATGTTTTTTTTTAAATCATAAATGTATTTGGGCAAACAAACTGAGAGAGAGAGAGAGAGAGAGAGAGAGAGAGAGAGAGAGAGAGAGAGAGAGAGAGAGAGAGAGAGAGAGAGAGAGATTACCAAGTGCATTAGTACTTTTTTGTATCAATAACCAAACACCCTTATGCAAGTATAAGCCTCCTAGTCAATGGGTCTTTGGATTGGTCGACTTAACTGGTTCGGGTTGACAATTTTGTATGGGCATCCATTGGCCTTCGCTCTGAAAGCCAAGCGGCTTTGAGAGTGACAGTTGGACAGTCTTGAGGCGATCGACGTAGGTATTCATTAGCTTGGGTGGCCCTTTGGTAGCAGGATAGGCTTGTAGTCGATCGTCCATTCTTTTGTTGGTTGGCAATATTCAAACAATCGGGTTGTTTATTTTTTGCCTTTTCTTTCTAGATTATTCAATCACCTTGAGATTCATGATGACCATTTTTATGTATACATATTAGTTCCTCGATCATCTTGCTCCTACCTCATATGTGGAGTTGATTGATCCCGATTTTATATGACAGTACAATGTATGCAGTTATAATCTTAATTTGTTCCTTACTTATATTTCTCACTTTGCAACTACAGCCAAAAACTTGATAACCAACAACAGCTAGACAAAAATTTGACTTCAAAGCAAATAAGAATACAATTACTATATTTAAATATGAGATAAGCAAGAATACATATCGTTATCAAATAATATAGGACTTTTCTTATTAAGACCTGAATATCAAACTCACAAACAAAAAAATACAATATGTAACTAAAATCAGAAGAAATTAGATAATAAATTCTACTTTGCAAAATATTCTTACTCAAACTATAGATGGTATAATAGGAATGAAAGTTCGATTCATTTTGTAATTTTTTATAATTGAAAGTAAAGTAAACAACTAAAAAAACTTAACTAGACATTCGTAAGATGAAAACAATATAAATAAAATATCTTTTTCCTTATCATGAACCTTATCATGAATCAGTAACAAATATAAGAATTATGTTGTGGAAGTATTCAATTTGTGTTGTGTCAAATCAGAGCAATAGTATTATTTACCATTAATAGAGATGTTATAAAAAATATTGGCTAATTTAAAGTTTGAATGGTCTTAAAGGCGGGTTAGGTAGGGAAGATAGTAGCTCTCACTCTAGAGTTCCCTCTTATCACTCCACCTAGGGGCTAACATCTCGTATCAAAACCTAAAGCTATAAACCAAATTGGGGTATTTAGTCTGTCACTCTAAAATCCTCTAATTCTACACCCTTCAAAATTTATTTCCCTATTTGTTTGCACTCATTCATATAAATTGCATTTTCGGATTCTAATAATTTGTTGACTGAGACAATACCATCCCGGATCTTACATGTTCTCACAACATGTATTAATATCTTAATTGACCAAATCAAGAAGTAAATGAAATACAAACTTTCAAATCATCACAACTTCTTCTTACATTGAAGTCTAATACTTCACACAAATTCCTTTAAATACTTAATTACTTATCATTTTAAGGAAAAATATAAAAAAAACTACTCAGAATTCATGGAGAAAACATAACCACACTTAAGTTTGAAAGTAGAAATCATGCAAACAAACAAGAACTTTAAATTAAAATTAAATGTAGTCACAAAGATAAAACTTATCTCAAATCGTCTCCACCAAACTCTTGAAGATCCCTTGAATCTCTTCTTTTCCTTTCTCTTACAATACTCTCTACTCACACACTACAACTCCTCTCTTCTTCTTCTCTCTAAAGGTATCCTAATTAATCTAAGAGAGAGAGGCATCAGTGGTGTCTAGAGGGCTCCTCTTTAATTCAATCCAAGTCCTACTATTATAGTTTTTCAAAAGGTATCTTGGTGTCTCTTCAAAATGTGTTCACATTCAATGAATCTTCCGAGAGTTGCCTCCTTTCAATAGCAAATTGAATGTATTTTCGTGTCCATTAACTATTTCCCAAATTTTCACCAAGGGTTTCTTCAAACACCTCTTAAAAAACTAGTCCAATTAATTGATTCATCAAGTAACTACTTCAGGCGCTTAAGCGTATGGTACTTGGCGCTTAGGCGTTGCCTTCTCGGTTTTATTGGCGCTTAAGCGCCAGTACTGTTAGGCGTTGCCTTCTCGGTTTTATTGGCGCTTAGGCACCACAGTTATTTTGCACACCTTCTTCATTTTTGCTCCAAATTTGATTCTTTTTCATTCCTTTCACCATTTTTCATCCATTTGATTGTAATTGAAAGAAAAACACACAAATATCTTCCATTAAAGCGTAATTTTTCAAAAATAGGAATAAAAATGTGCACATAAAGACTATATATTTTAATTATATCAAAATTCCCAAAACATAAAATGTTACTTGTCCTCAAGCAACACTTCAATCTTTCAAAACCAAAATAGGTAGATTATATAAATGAATTTCTTTAGGATATTCTAAAATTTTTATTTATAAATATAGTAGTCAAATTTAGAAAAAAATATTAGTATATAAGACCAACTTAGAGTTTAGAAATTTTTAATGTAAAGAAGTCTGAAAACATGACTTCCTATCTAGTTCAGAAATATTTGTAAATTCTCCAAATATTGAGTTTAGACATTATATCTTCTCCACTTAAAATTTTTTATTAGTCATAATTTTACTTACTATATTATATCTTTAAGATTAAGAGTTTCTCAAGTCTTATATTTTAAAAATTTCATATGTGAAACTAATTTTTTATCTCAAGCTTCTCCTCTCTTTTTCAACTTTCTTTTTATACCAATTTTTGATTACACACTAATCCTCAAGCTTCTTCTCTCTTTTTCAACTTTCTTTTTTTTTTTTTTTTATGTGAGAATTACTATATCTAGATAGGTGTTTAATGATTTTGAATTTCACTCATCCTTTTCAAAGCAAAGTCCTAATATAAATATTTTGCTTAAAAATATAATAATAGTTTTGAAAATTATTTTTAATAAAAGAAATTTAAGTATTGAAAATAAAAGTCTAACCCTTCTAGATTTTTCAAAAATAAAATTTCTCCTACTAAAGATAGTTACACGATATTTATCATTTCTACACTAAAAATTTTAAACTTTAAGTTTTTCTTTATTACTATAGGTTTCAACTAAATTCTCTTACTTATTTCTATTTTCAAGATTTTACTTCTCTAGTATAACTTCATATACATAATCATTTTTTTCAAATCAAAATCAAAATCAAATTTATTTGTAGTACATTTGAGAACAAATAAACTTCTAGTTTTAGAAAATTTTTTTCATCCCCCAAACTTAAATTTTTAATAAGATTAAACATTTTTGCATCATATTTATATATAGGCAGGAATGAAAACTAAAAATAACATGCTTACAAGAATTTTTATATCCTAAATATACAAGTACAAAAATTAAAAACAAGAGTAAAAATTAATTGATCAAATTTTGATTTAGCTTAATATATTGAGATTCATTAGACTTCTATCCAATGGAGGATAACATAAAAACAAACAAACACACTAACAGAAATTCACAACTGCAACATAAAGAAAATACCTTGTAGTAAATTGAAAATTTTCAACATGAATTTCTTAAGTGAAAGTTAGTAATATTCTAAACCTTCCTAAAATTTAGGATCAAGTTCAACACAGACTAACAAAATACACTAGACAACGAAGTTATCACAATCACTACCATAAAAATAAAATATAACTACTCACAATAATATAAATTCATCACAGCAGTGTCGAACAAAATAAAACACAAACAATTATAGCAATCTCAACAAGTGCAACACAAAACAAATTAACAGTACAATATAACTGTACCACATAATGTTCACAGTAATAAAAAAAAAACTAAACTACTCAATTTAATCCTCCTCCTCCTCATCATCATTTCATGTGGTTCGAGGAATCTCTCTTTTGTCAAAATATGAAGTAGACATAAAGGGCAACTAGTTAAGAAGATGATCATTTTAATTAGTGGATATTAAAATGTATTCAATATTGAGTCTTTTTTAAGTGAGACATCTGAGTTTGACATTGGGGTACTTTTAAAAGAACATTGGTTGTTGTTGGCTTGGGCATTAGAGGTGTAAATAAATTAAGCCAAGCACAAGCCATCCATGCTTAAGCTTTAGCTTAATTAAATAATTAAGTTTGAGTTAAATCTTTCGTTTAATTCTACTCATGTATTATAAAGAAGGAAAAT